TAATGCATGAATAACATTCTTTTAAATCATAAAATTAATTAATAATAAATGATATATAGACTTTTTTTTTTTCTGTTCATGCCACGGACATCTCTTAAACTACAAGATAGAAAGACTAGTAATTTCATTCATAGTATTATGATTGTCGTTGGCCCGAAAGGTTTGTGCATATAAAAGAAATTGAATACAAAATTTATCGCTAAAGAAATTGTCTCAACAATATAAAATATAAATAAATAATATCAATCATTCTCCTAATGTAAAATTAAATAATTAATTAAAAAATTTATCTTTTATCTTATTCTTAAGTTTTTTTATTATCATTTTTATAATTGAAATATCTCTCCATTATAATAACCTAAACAGAAAAATTAATCACAAAAAGTAAAAGATCAATTAAAAATTAAATTAAATAAATTTTAAGAATCATATTTATCCTAAGTTTTTAAAGAGTGGAGGGAGAGAGGGGAGAGAGACTCTTATTTTCCTGTTGGATATGTCTAAAACATGATAGTAATTTTAGATTTAAAAAATAGAAACAAATTTACCTTAAATTTAAACAATTAAAAATATATTGAAACTTTTATACTATCATATAATCATAGGCTAACACTACCTTATATTATTTATTATGTTAGTTGACTCTTATATAAAGAAATAATCGTAGAAACTAGAAAATATAGAGTAGTTCACGGTGGCCTCCAGCCTCAGCTTAGGGTTCGGCTTCGAGCTTTGTGTTGGGTGTTGGTAACCCATCCTACAATCACACTCAGATTTATGGCAAGGATTCATTAATTTCCTTTCCATGGTATCTTGAATACAGTTAGTTGTGCTGTCCTTGGGAGGCTAAATTAACAACCATGTGGTCCTACCCCTCTTGTCACTTCCCCTGTTAGTAGCTATGTTAACATCAATGCCATAACAGAACCGAGGATGATAGGATATAGATTATGGCCTTCAATGATAACAACACCCATTTTTTTTAACCAATACTTTCTCTTGTGCATTAAATAATTCAATTTTAATATATAAAAATTTCTTTTCTTCTAATTAATATATATATTCAACACATTCATATTTTACAACAACTTATACCAGAAAATAAATTACAATAATTATTGAATTTATTTTGAACGTCTTTCTGAAGATTCATTAGCTTCCATTTCTGGCCCTATAAACCATTAATAAACGCTGTCTGTACATTATTTGCTAGGTACGAGCTTTATGTAACAATAAAATTCATCTGTATTTTTTTTTGTCTATTTTTGAACATTTATATTTCTCCTTATCTATTTTTTTTTAAAAAAATCAAAACAATACAACTATTATCTTTACAAGTATGCCAAATTCTGAAATATAAGTTTTACATACGTACTTATCATAAATGAGAAATAACTATTAGTATATGTCGTATTAGAAAATTATAAATAATTTTAATATAATCAAAGATATTAACTAACTTTTTAGTTTTTTGTGTGTTATGGTCCTATACACACGGTTAAATTTTTTCTTACTAGCATAAAGGTCATGGAGCATCGGTTGGTTTGGTAGGAAGGTCTTGAGGCTATTAGATAGGCAAACAAAATCAAGGATGCATATATGGTAAAGGGATGTTGTTACTTGCATTTATCCTTTTTACCATTATTGAACTTATAATAGGAAAGTCATCTGCCATGATTTCGCACGAGACCTTTGTTTACTGGGGTGAAAAGGCTATATCTGTTTCCCAAGCTAAAATTCTAGCACAATTAGGTTAAAAGACACTAATTACAAACTTACTAACCTGCTATGAAACATTACATCATTAATAGTTTATAATATGGGATATGTTATACGAGTTATGCTCTCATGCATAATTCTTGGGATTATTTCCTCAATTAGAATATTTAATTTGGCGTATATTTTGTCGGTTTTAATTCTCCTTTATTGCAGAATTTTGCCAAATCATATCAAAGATATGAGGGAGATAATTTAGCCTGTATACTTGTATATAATTACCTATTGATCAATAGAATAAGTGACGATTCTTTTCCACAACTTTGTTATGGTATCAGAGCGTACAAAGTCTCGGTAAGAACGTGTGACAAAACTCTTCTCATGGATAAAGCTGAGATCAAGAAGAAGACCGAATTGGTGAAAAAGATACCTTCACAATATGACTTGCATGCAAAAGATAATTCAGGAAATTTGATTGGAGGAAGAAATGGAGGTTTTCGAGCAAATGCAATGCAAGTGAATGGAGAAACCAATGAGACTAATGTAAATGCATTGAGTGAACTAAGATCTGAACAATGGCAAACTCTAAAGGATTTGTTGACCCCGATAGCTCACAAACACAGAAACACAAAGTGCTGCTACTGATAGTACAACAGAAAAGGCACTTGCAACATTCCACGAGCTACTTGATGCTGCTGCATTTAATGCCTTGCCAGTCAAAGAACTGCCAACAGATATGGAGGTTCGTATTCGACCTCAACTTTGAGTGGAACGATTGAACTAAGGTTCGAATTCGACCTTGGGTGAGAGCAAGATATTTTGCGGTGAGGTTCGAACTCGACCTCAGATTAGAGTAATCCTGCCGAGGTTCGAATTCGACCTCAACTTGAAGTAAAATGAATCGTGTGGAGGTTCGAACTCGACCTTGAATATATCATACCGAGGTTCGAACTCGACCTTTGAATGGATCATACCAAGGTTCGAACTTGACCTCGAACTAGAGTAGAATGAGTCATACGAAGGTTCGAACTCGACCTTGAATTTAAGCAGAGCGTATTAAGGTTCGAACTCGACCTTGTATTTAAAGTAATATGAATTATATTAAGGTTTGGACTCGACCTCGGGTTTAAGCAAAACGTATTAAGGTTCGAACTCGACCTTGTATTTAAGTAAAGCAAAGCGTATCAATGTTCGTACTCGACCTTGACTAAGAGCGAGATAAGTCGGACCAAGGTTCGAACTCGACCTCAGCGTAAAGTAAAATAAATCGTGCTAAGGTTCGAACTTGACCTTGGTTTAACGTAAAGCATCTCATGGTAAAATGGTGCAAAATCAAGAGAATATGAATGGAAAAGAATGAGTTATTTTATTGATTGTATATATGTGCCTCGTTAAAAACCTTTTCAGCCAAAACCCATTTTTCTGTTTTTTGGGACAAAAAATTGAGGCGGGAAAAGAGTGCACAGCTCATTCTTACAGGTTTAGCTGAAATAGAATTTAAGGTGTGTGGTGTTCCACGTCCGCGGGATGACTTTGCCGCTGAGTTCTTCTAGCCTGTATGCTCCATTTTCCAAGTCTTCTACAACTCGGAATGGGCCACCCCAGTTGGGTGCAAGCTTTTCGTCCGATGCGTCTCTACGTGCTTCGCCCAACAGTCACCATACCAGGTTGCCAAATCAGAAAGAACGAGGTCGCACTCGTGTATTGTATCTTCTGGAAGCTCAGAGTTTGCAGGCTTCTTCATGAATCTGAGCTTCATCTCTGAGCTCATCAATCAAGTCGAGGTCAGCTGCTAACTCTTGAGCGTTCTGCTCGCTGTTGAAGACCTGGCATCGATGAGATGTCTCTCTGATTTCCACTGGGATCATTGCGTCAGCTTCGTAAGTCAGCCTGTAAGGCGTTTCTTGCGTTGTTGACTGGGGGTGCAATGGTATGCCCAGAGAATGCTGGGAAGTTCGTCAGCCCATTGCCCCTTGGCATTCTCGAGCCGATTTTTGAGCTCTCGGAGTATCACCTTGTTTGCAGCTTCGGCTTGACCATTAGTTTGCGGATGTTCCACCGAGGTCGGGCGGCGCTTGATTTCGAGTTCTCGAAGGAAGTCCTCGAAGCTCTGCGCAATGAATTGTCGACCGTTATCAGTAACAAGGAAATGGGGGATTCCGAACCTGCATATGATGCTCTTCCAGGTGAACTTTTGTATATTCTCCGTAGTGATCTTGGCGAGTGGGCATGCTTCGATCCACTTGGTGAAGTAGTCCGAGGTCGAGAACGAACCTCGTTAAAATTCTGAGGTCGAGTACGAACCTTAAACATTCCTACCCGAGGTCGAGAACGAACCTCATTAAAATTCTGAGGTCGAGTACGAACCTTAAACATTCCTACCCGAGGTCGAGAACGAACCTCGTTAAAATTCTGAGGTCGAGTACGAACCTTAAACACTCTTACCCGAGATCGAGAATGAACCTCGTTAAAATTCTAAGGTCGAGTACAAACCTTAAATACTCTTACCCGAGGAACGAACCTCGTTAAAATTTTGAGGTCAACCTTAAACATTCTTACCCGAGGTCGAAAATGAACCTCGTGAAGGCTTACCTAACTCTATTCTAAGGTCTAATACGAACCTTAATATGCCTATTCCGAAGAATTTAAACCTTATAAAAGTCCACCAAACTCTATTTAAGTCGCATACGAACCTTAATATTAATATCTGAGGTCGAGGTCGAACCCCGGTACTCTCGTTAAGGGTTGAATACGAACCTTAATCAAATCATTCACGTAAACCCCGAGGTCGAGCACGAACCCCGGTACTCTCGTTAAAGGTTGAATACGAATCTTAATCAAATCATTCACGTAAACTTGAGGTCGAGCACGAACCCCGGTACTGTCCTTAAATGTCGAATACGAATCTTAAACCCGAGGTCGAGCACGAACCCCGGTACTCTTACTCAAAGGTCGAATTCGAACCTTCATAACCTCAATATTTTCACTTAAAGGTCGAATCCGAACCTCCATCGTTTATCCCAATTTGAGGTCGAGCACGAACCTCAAAACTCTTTCTCTTAACTTAGGCCGGATTCCAACTTAAGTTCCATTTTGAATTGAATGAATGCTAAAAACTGAAAAGCAAACAGTACTGCAATTGTAACAACTAAGCCGAAGAGGATGGAATTCCATAATGCTGATAATGAATTATTTCTTTTCTGACACCGCTTAAAATAACTAAAGTAATGCTTCAATTACAATAAAAAAATTAGAGCAAAGAGAAACCACTAAACAGTACAAACCTATCTAGTACAAGCGTAATGAATAGTACAATCCCAAACTTAAGCTGTTGGTTCAATATTTAAAGGTTCTCCATGGGTGTAAAGTCCCGATAGCTCACAAACACAGAAACACAAAGTGCTGCTACTGATAGTACAACAGAAAAGGCACTTGCAACATTCCACGAGCTACTTGATGCTGCTGCATTTAATGCCTTGCCAGTCAAAGAACTGCCAACAGATATGTCAATGGGAACCGAGTCACAGTTAACAGAATAGTGCCCAGAACCATGCCATGGCTGACCATCTACTGGATACCATAATGCAACAGACATCTTACTGGATCCACCCATGGGAATCCAGTCGCAGTTAACAGAATAGTGCCCAGAACCATGCCATGGCTGACCATCTACTGGATACCACAAAGCAACAAACATCTTACTGGATCTTTGCGTATATTAGAATATTATGCAACTACCTGATTGTCCAAATATCAAGTCATGAGATGTTTGGCTACCTATTTGTTTGAATATGAACTTCTTAGAAAAATATCTGATTATCCGACCAGCCAGGTAGCCAAAGTATTACTTTATTTTCCAACAATTCTCCATATCATGTGCGAGGGAGGTGTCGATATTTGGTTGTCCGAATACCCATCCACCATTGATAAATTATTAATGGTTAGAGTTTAGGTATAAACTATAGACAAAGTGCATGCTTTGTCCGACGAGATAAAAGGTAAAAAAAGAGAGAGGAAACAGGTGAAAAGAAAAAAGAAAAAAATCCGTGGTGCATCAAATACCAACATCTGGCAAATGCTTGACGTTTCTTATTTCTATAGATTATAAGTTGTAAAATCAAGTAGTAATGATATGTGGACATTTCACACACACTACCATGCTTTTTGTAATTTTTTATTTGTATTTCTTTTTTATATATTATACCATTTCTTATACTTACATTTCTTTTCCTCTCTAGCTAAGTATTAACTTGAGATTGGTGTCACCGATCTTTCTCCAACCAAATAATATATGAGGTCAATTTGGTGTCTTGTAGAAAAAAACATAGAGGGAGAAACTTTATGTGAAAATTGTACGAAAAACTTGTCCTTACTTTTTAACTTGGAAATATTGGGAGAAGATCTCTATTAATCTGATCATGGTGAATCTGGGGTTTTTAATTTTGATAAAATGAACTCAGTTCGATTTTCAATATAGTTGGATATGCATCAGTATCATACATTAAGTTAGAATGCCGTGCTACAATTGACAGCACATAGATAATTTTCTAGGAAGACTTCTCTATTTGAGGAGCATACACTGTTCTCAACCACCGTGACAAATTAATTAAGAACGGCGTATACACGAAGTAACAAGTGAGTGTCCAAGTAACTAGTCCCTGCATATGGTGGTAGGAGAAATCATCAACAATTTCACAAATAAGTGGTGGGAAGTGATTGTAATATGACATGATCTACCTGGCCAAAGATTTCAATATTCGCTTGAGGATAGTACCAAAGGTGGAAGAACCTGAAAGAAGCAAAAGAGAAGTATCCCTCAAATTAACGTATTTCAATAGGTGAAATGATATGAAGCAAGCGCTGGGAAGGGAAAGAG